CCTGAAGGCAAACGGAAACGGGGTCGACCGCGCGAGACTTGGAGAAGGACTGTAGAAAGGGAGCTGGACAAGGAAGGCTTAAGAACATGGGAAGCAGCAGCATCGGCTGCGGAGGACAGAACAGCCTGGAGGCAGAGAGCTTACGGCCCAATTCTCCACTTGGAGAACGGATAAATGATGACATGAAAATAACAAGAAGATTTCCTTTTTTGGTGATTTATTCATAATACGGGTCAGTTATGAAAGCGTGTGAAAGGAGTACTTTTTTCAGTTAAAGGTATACGAAAAGGGTACCTTTTCTGTCAAAATGGTGTACAAAAGGGTGAGGGGTTAGACCCCGTATAGAACTTCACAGAGTATTCCCCCGGGGGAGCAAACCCAGAAGGACAGTAGCGGTTGCAGAAGGAGTGAATTCCTTGGTTGAATGTGTTCCTGAGCATCACTGACGATCATCAACTGTAAGGGCAGAGTATTCGTTTACGATCACTGTTATAAAAATCACTTTCATGATGCTCCAACTAAAATTCCCTTTCTACACACACGGAAGAAACCTAAATCGTTTGTTTCTGACTGGAACATCATCAGCTGGTCACTTCTCTTGTCAGCCGCCAGCATTCTTATCCTGAAACAAAATCAATTAGCGCCCTCTAGCCCGTGGAAATGGCGGTCAAGAAACGGGTTCCCCTTTTAGTTCCTGGTCCGCTTCTGCGTTTTTTCGCCGCGGCCATATACTTTAGATCACGTGGTCTCGGCACAAGAAAAGCGCGATAGTTCGTCCTGTGACGTCATAGAAAACCAATTCTTGGTCAAAGCCTCTCTTTCTTCCCCGAGAAAAGATCGAAGAGAAAGGACCCTGTAACGAAGTTGGGGTCAAAGCTTGAGAAAAAAGAAATTGCTATTCACCACAAAAGCGAGAGTAAAGCAGACGTTTTTTTTAGCGTTAGCTCTTCGTCAGAGCAGCGTCTCCAATCTCGTTCCCAGGCTCTCTCTCCTTTGCCTTCCGGAGGTAAAGGGGCGAGAGCCTAGGAACGAGGAGACTCGACTTGCCTCCAGGCGTCGTCAGGTTGCGAAAATAAAGTACCTTTTCTGAGATAAATTTCTTTGCTCTATTTTATTTTGGTCACTGCAATAAAGCCATGACATTTCTCGCGGGAAGCTGATCAACGGTATAATTCATGTTAAATAAGTTCTGCACAGGTCCGAAACGGATGACAAAATACAGGAATACAGGAAGCTATAAGGAGATTGCATGTCAATTAATCGATTTGTTATAATTACGCGTGGAAGAAAACGCTTTTGGGAAACAGTCGTAAACATTATCTTTATCATGATAAAGAAAAAAAAAACAGTAAACTAGACACATTTACTTGAAGCGACCCAAGGTTACCCAATTGCAGAGAATAAAACATCGTGACGCGTCATGAGGGCAAAGTACCGAGGGCTAAATTAAGGGTTCAGTACCGAGGCAGGAAGTCTTAATAATAAAAGCCGACATCTAGAACGGACGCCACTCTGTACTAGCTGAAATAAGTAGATAAGGAAATTTAGTCCCGCCAAGGTGACCTGCGCTAACGAGTTTAAAAGAATTCCTTTTAGTTTCTGGCGATTGTGGCTTGCTGAATGTATAATGCAACACTCGTGATTAACCTACACGTCAAACGATAGTTTGCCGTCTTGTTTTCAGTGTTTTCAATGTTTCCATTGTTTTAGCACTTTCTTGGAAACGATATCGATAAACTTCCGTTCCACGCAACTTAACCGTTTTCCTTGTTGCAGTTTCGTGACGGAAAGGGTACGAAACTACGACTAAACTACATCGTAACCGCACTTTTAAGCTAAGTAGTTTGCCATCGTATACGGTGGGCGACCTTTCTTGATCTTGAAAGACGGATTCTTGTTTCATAAGGGCTTTCTTGTATTGGATCCCAGCTTAGCGGGAGGCTGGTGAAACAGTCTGAGAATTTTGAAAATTCAAGTTATGAAAGTGGCTAGGTGTCAAAGGTAAACAACAGCAGCTCAGTGTAAAAAAAATGTCGAAAAATTCGTTTTCAAGTTCCTGAATTGAACACGGTATAAGACATATCATACATATAAAATAGAGCCCCAGGTAAAATAAAAGTATAACATGGGCTGCAAAGACTCAGTACACGGATTATAAAACGTACGTCGATGGCATGAGTAAACTTAACTTCGCTTTGAAAGAGAAATTTTTTTCACAACAGCGATGTTAGAAAATAATCGGTTCCATAAGTCAGTAATGGACGCTAAAGGCGTGAATCAATTGTTTAAAAAAAAAAAATTAAAGTAGTTGTTAGTAAGTTTCAGTTTTACCGGAGTCGCATTGTTACGGTTTCGTTGGTCTCAAAATTTCAGTGCTAACAGTTCGGGCACTGCTCAGCTGAGTCCATCCGGCAGTCTTGAAAACAACACTAAGCTTTCGAAACAAACCGCATTATATCAGTTCAACAACTAGTTCCGTATCGGGAACTCGAAAAAGTCATCTGGTTCTGTGCCAATAAAGCTGAAAACATCGGAGCAAATGTGGGCATTGAGTCTGGAGTGCGTTTTGTTTACTTTGGCTTTCGCTAAGGCCGTAGGCGGTTCGAACCTCCCTCGACATAGTCTTGAATACTTGATAAACATGGAGTCAAAACTACATTAAGGATATACGCTGTAACGCAGTTATGACCAGTGCCATGGTCAAGAGCACATTCAGACGTTTCAGTATTACATGGAGTCTAGGTGAAATATTATTCAGGTTCGTACGGGCGCACTGAGTAAAGCCGCCGAGTTATTAGGAAACTGGTCATGCAAACAGTCTCAAAACCATTTTAAAACACATGCGAGTCCGCAAATTTTGAGAAACTACTTTTTATTTCAACTAGGAGCCTTAAGTTCACAGCTTTAAATTAGTGTTATTTAAATTTTTCAGTGTGGAAAGGCAGAAGTGTTTGCGTGTCATTCACCGATGTCCTGCTGCCAAGGCAACAAACCCTTGGCCCTTTTCCCGCCCTTTCCCCAAGGTAATTACAATATTTTTTATCTCCCAACGAGAGCTTGCTCAAAATATTGAATCAATAATTAAAGGGACATCTTTGCCGCCGACTAATCTTGTAAAGGGATTTAGAAATACGTGGACCGTCGCATGAATATTATATGTCAAAGTCAAACGTTTTTTTAGCAATTATCGTGTCTCGGGCCCATTGGCTCACAGTTGAATCTTTCCCACCCACGCCTAGGAAAAAATTTCCATTTGCTTAAATGCGTGGGTTATTTTCATTTCACAAGGTACGCTGCCCTTTCTGTTTGTTCAGTCAGTTATTTGCGCAAGCTTCAATTCCCTCATATTATATATAGAAACAAGCATGGACTTACTTTCATAGGCGAGAACTTATCTCGGCGGGATTCACAAGAATACATTCCTCATTCGTAAAAGAGCAGTTTTTGAACCGAAGCTTGTTTCAAATGCCAAATTCATTTTTCCAAGCAAAAAGCAATTCATCAAGCACGGACATATTTTAAGTCACATAGTTTTCCTTCCCTTATATCTGCATTAACGAATCGACACACAACGACCTCATTTTGCATTGAATTTTATTCAATAATTACGCAATTTTCTTCAAGTTCCATACAATTAAAGTATATTGTCAAGTTTTTTGTTCAAATGGCATTATTGCCGACACAAGGAGCCCATACTTACTAGTACTTAGTTACACCATGGGCAAGACTATTTCAATTTACCACTTACAAACAGTATTGAGCAAGAGTTTTAACATTTACATATTCTTTGGAAGACATTTAACATGCTTCAATGACAGAAGTGAAAATTACGCCTCAACAGAATGACACTGCTAATTGCACTTTTACAAGTTGAAAATATAACTCTTAATTTATAAATGTTGCATCTTATGACTTAAATATGTAAATAATGTCAAATCTATCATAATTTCAACTTTGAAAAAAGTTAATAGAAAACTTACAAATACAAGGAGACATTTGATCAGTGGCAAGATGATTTTGTACATTTAACTTAAAACTTCTTAAATAATTAATATTTAATCCAACTTGAATCTAGCCTCAACCACTGATTAAAAATTTCCCATTCCTATTTTTTAACAAATATAATATTTTCATTTTTCTTTCTCTTGCCAGCAAGACATATTTTACAAATTTACAATGATGACTGATATTATCTGAAATGTCGCGGACATGTTTTCAGGTGATCTGTTGCTGACAGTGCGATGGAAATGAAATGAGGTGTTTTCTGGTCTGAATTATCAGTCGCATTTGTGCTGTCAAGTAAATTACTGCATTCCTGTGTTAACATTCAAGTAATTTTACAACTTCCAGGCTCATGACCATTCTTAAAACATAATTCATCAGAACCTTCCAGTATAAACACTTTCATTTAGTTTAGAAAGACAGTAAATTAGGTATTTTTAAAATAAACTTCAAGAAAACCTAGAATGTAGTGTCTGACCAGGAAACATTTCCGTGATCTACAGAAACGAAGTAAAACAGGTTTGTAAGATGAAAACATCTCAAAGCAGTTTTAATCTACACCACTGAGGTTCAAATAAGCCAGGCAAGTTGCATATTTGACAGCTAGATCAAAAGAATAATGTCTAGTTTTGCTAGGATTTGATTGGCTACTCAGCGACTTCCTCATTTCATATTCTTTCAGCTGCCACACGCCGCCTCATGGGCCAGACGCACGAAAAATTAGATGGCAACACATTTAGCGTCGTGAATATTCATGTCTACACATCCTTCTCGTTCTCCTCGATGATTGTATTCTGGTAGGAAAATATGTTTAAACTTTTCTTCACAGCCTCGGTCAGGTCTTCAATCTTCATATCCTCTGGGTATCCTCGCATGATCGGATCTTGTTTCTGTTCCAAAAAGCAGTGTTGAAGAGTGGACACGCTACCAGGTCTACAGATCCGTAACCAAGCCACGGCCTCGGCAGCTGTAAATCGGTACTGTCTGATCAAATAACAAGCGATCAGGGTTCCTGTTCTTCCCAACCCAGCGCGGCAGTGAACGGCCACGGCTCCATCACACTGTTCAACGACTCTTGTAAATTTCTTGATGATCGCTTTCGTGGGAATTCCGCCATCTTCATAATAAAGATCGTTGTGCGTAAATCCGTTGGCGGTAAAACAACGTGCGTCATAAATAAGTCCGTATTTTACCATGTTATCGTCCTTGTTCAGTCTTACAACTCCTTTGACACCAGTCTGCCTGAAATATTTCCTCAGTCGACTGAATCGACTCGCCTTAATTTCAGGTCTTCTCTGAGGATCAGTCAGCGCTAACAATTTGCCGGGTACAATCCAGTTCAAATCAAAAGCGCGCTCTTCTTGCTCGTATCTATTCAAGTCGAATTCGTCGAAGCAGAAGAACCCCAGTGCTGTTGCCTTCTCAAAGCCTTTAAGGCAATCCAAGATATTAAGATTATGAGATAGATTTCCATTAACATCACAGTAAGGAACCAGAGTGGATGGCGGAAAGTGTTGCTCTAATAAGCCATAAATTTCTTCGGCGGTCATTTTGAGTTGACACATCGCGAACGCGCCACACAGGAAGACAGAGCGTGTTCGCTTTTTCGCCTCGGAAAATCCCTCGTTGGCTGTTGTGTAAAGGACAATCTTCTTCGAGGCCGGGATCACATGAAGTTTAGTGTTCACAAGGCAACAGAACCGGTATATTCCAGCCAGATTTGCCGGACCGAAGTAAGGTGTGTCGTGAAATTTACAACCATCGAGAGTCCAGTCATGATCCACGCTAAAATAATGATATGTTGCGTTGTTTCGCGGTTTACAGCTAACACTCACAAAGTACAAGCGATCTTTAACCACTTCGCAAGAACTCATGATGTTCCTGTCCCACATTTTCGTTTTCGTGTCTTCTTAGCACGAGGAAACGAATCTACCACCGTCTCTGAACCAAAACAAAAGAGTAAAATAAACCGTCGTCGTGGCGCGCTAACATGCAGTCATTCATTCATGGCTGTGGCCCATTATCATAGCACGTGATAACAACAAAGATATGATTGGTCAAGAGCAGCCAGCCAAACAATTCATTGTTTGGTTAGCCAATCATAACCAGCAGGAAACAATTCCACTGGGTTCTCATATTCCAAAGTTCATCCCAGAGGAATTTGGCGCGAAAGCCAGAGTATTTTGGGAATGAGACATCAACAAGTTGCGTGGGGTTTGGTTGTTGACAAGGAAGTTGTTATTTTGAACGAATGTTCGTGGATGGGGGTGACCTGGAAATATCGAAAGTTTCTTTTTGCTCTCTTTGCGAAAGCGAAAATAACCATTTCTTTTATATTCGGATTACTTATTTTAGACCGTAATTACGCAACGAGAAAAATACCTGCTTGTGAAACACAGCATTCCTATGCAAATTTATCACGGATTTAATACGCCAACAACCCTGGCTAGTCGCATGTGACAATGACGCAGGAGTAAAATAATTACGGAAAATTCCACAACATCAAGAGTTCCATTGACATAAAGAGTATAACAATCAAGAAATACCTCAGCTTGTCGGTGTAAATACGCTCGTGCTGTTTAGCAGGTGCCGAAGCGACAAACTACAATTGTAGCTCCCTAGAGAGCGACTTTTCATTACTTCAACTAAGTACAAAAAAAAATTCTTCGGTTATTGCCACAGAATATTTTCAGTGTACTTGTGTTTCACCTCAAGATTGCCCAAAAAAAAAGCCATGCAAGAAAGAGATCGCTAATAATGCGCAGACGATAGAAGACCATAGAAATTACCGGAACCTTAGTCTCACGCACGTAGTCGGCTTGACGGGCCAAGCTAAACAAAAATGACGCGGTCAAAAAATGTCAAGTGTTTCAGTGGTTGACTCGGTACTAAGTATTCTAGAAAATTGAGTTCGTGTGTCTTTATTTCCGATCTGAACTTCACGTCTTTCACGTTCTTTTCCTTCTTTTGCTTCTCTCTGAGTCGTGTTACCAAATTTGCTAGCACAGTCACGTTTCCCGGTCACGTTTATGAATAACACATAAGCGTTGGTTATAGCTCTGTTGGAGCATGGCCCGGCGTTGATCATTACTGGATAATGTCTAAAAATATCTTCATTCTCGACACTACGTCTGGAATACAAATCTAAGATACTTGTTTTTTAACAAATATTTATACTTATAATGACCATGGTCAAACAATATACGCAAACGTGCGTGCGTTCAGTGTTGCATATTTCCCCGTGTTATTTCCGATCGTGACTCGCACCGGGCTCGCAAGATTTGTAAACAAAGAAGCAAAACACACTTGCTCGCTGTGCTTAACACTTTAATGTAATGTTTGTTTGACGAATGTAATGCAAGGAAAACCCAGGTTCTGCAGTGGCCTCAAACTGAGTGAAGCAACGGATTGTAATCTGATGAAAAAGGTCCTCATTAAAAAAAAAACATAGCATGTAAATGTGAAATGAAAGCAAAAGCCTGCGCCACATCTGTTTTCATGGTCTGCATGGAAAATATTTGTCTGCAAATAATTATAATAAGCACGCCGGGAGGTGCCAAAATTAGTTTTTCGTTGTAAACAGTGTGCAGCGTGACTTGTCACAAGGTCTGTGTTTGTTGTCATGCCTCCCAAAGTGAGGACAAGCCGCGCGTGTTTCAAGAACTGGCTTGACACTTTACGAGTGCGTCAGCAGCTTCCTTTGGGTCAGCCAGCGTACAAGATAGTGCCCTTACCCACTTCTTAGAGGAATTTGACGATCGGCTGGGAGGTGAAGTTGTGAGCTAAAAGGAAACAAAATTGCAAATCAGTTCCATTATGACGATATAACGCGCGCTATGATTGGTTAATTCTGGGGTAATATTTAGCTCTTATTAATCAAGCACGAGGTCTGTATGGGAGAATCTTGACCGAGGTCGTGAGTACAGACCGAACGCAGTGAGGTCTGTACACACGACCGAGATCAAGATTCTCCCATACAGACCGACTAAGCTCGGTTAATAAGATGTTTATGATATGGCAAACAAGAAAAATTTAATTCGTTTTATGCAACTGGTTTGTACTAGCTGACATTTTGCTTCCGAACGGCGATGAGCTGAACTTAAATCTGCCAAAGCTTGCTCGTCTTGTTCACCTTTTTTTTCTGATCAGGCTTTTTGGCACTTCTACGAACATTTTTAGAAGAAAACAGTCAATATTTTTGTATTTTAGTTTGCAACTTTTTCACCGTAAAATGTAACCGGTCTAGATGGGAAAATCTAGACCGCGGTCATTATCGATTTCAGCCAATCAAATTCGTGAATTCTGTAGTTCCCAGTCCTTGTGAGACACAGCCATATAATACTCCAGTAATGCCCACGGGCCGATTACGTTCCTGCGAAAAACAGAGCAAAAAGCACTCTAATACTCGAACCCGGGCCTCGAACGTTCGGTCTTTACGGGGAAAGAACCTCGGCCTTGTCGTACCTCCCGCTCGGTGAATACGGCAAGGTCTCGGTTTGAGATTTTCCGTTTAAAATTAAGACCTCAGTCTCAGTTGATAAGTAGTTATACCATGCGAAACCTGTTTGTTATGTTTGTAACCGCTGTTTTTTTTCTCTTTCTCCTGAAATTGAAATGGCCGAAAAACAAGAATTTTTATGATGTTAGTTAGTAGGTAGTAAAACATATTGACAGCTGCTACTCCTTTTTGTGCTCCTCCTACGCATACACTTTTATGGCCCCCGATTTTTTCTTCTTCCTTTTTTTTTTTTATTTCCGACGGAAAGTAGTTGATGAGATTCATTATTGCAACCCCATTTATGCTTCCCTTTCATTTCTAGATCGGGGAGATACTCCCTTATATCGGCTATATAGCTATGTGCGGCTCTAAAGGGTATGATTTTTGTATGATTTTTGTCTGCAAAAGGGTATAGATTTTGACCATTTTCGTCTCAAATAGGGCTTGTTTTTCACCTTGGCCTAGCATTGGGTGTTTTGTTTACAAGGAATTGGTAAATTTGTAACCCTTCTCAAATGTTTATGCAAATGGGAGCCAATTCTGGGTCATAACTGCGGTCATGAACCGTATACTATAAATTCTAGAGGTCTGAAACTCGGGGGTATCGATTTTTGGCTCCGGTCTGAAATAGAGTATGGAAAATCAAAGATTTTGGCCTGAAATGGGATACTGGTTCACAGGTTCGGGACGCATGCCCCCACCAAAAACAACCCAAATACTGTATTTGCAATGCGTTTAACTAAAACCGTGAAAACCCATGCGACACACTGGGGACGCCTTCTTTAATACTAAACAAAGGAGCTTTTGCTAGAGTGGTTACACATTTCTTCTTTAATTTCTCATTTAAGTTCTCCTTTATTTTATTTGATTGTCCATTTTCAAGGTGAATGGAAAACAAAGAGAAGATATGGGGACAAAACCACATCCCATCAAGAGCCCAATTAAGAAGGCAACAAAAGGAACATAAAACATTGAAATCTTGGCAACAGAGAATGGAAATAGATTCCATGGAACTATCGGAATAATCCAAACCCTTGAACTGAGCAAGGCAATCTGAGCACGGTTTATGTGCCCAAAAGGCATGTATATCATTAATGCACCATGGAAGAAGCGGTATAAATTAGCAATACGACCAGTACAAAGCAGCAGACAGAAACAAGTTTGAATTACAAATTTAGGAAAAAAGCTTTAACAATGATTGTTTAACGAAGCTCTTGATGCAGTTTGTCAATTTCACTTGTGGCCCTAGTTTGGATACTAAAACTATCTGGGCCAGGAGTTATTTGGCCCGGAGGTGTTTTTTAGGAGCAAATGCTTCTAACAGCCTTTTTTCTTTTTTTATCCTCTTTACTTTCTGCAATCTTTCTTTGATTAGTCTCATTCGACTAGGTTTAATCTTTTTCTTTCCCTGTAATAAATTGATAACAGTTGACAACTTATTGCTCTTGGCTGCATAAGGTAAAAAGTTTACTAGACCTTTAATAGTGAGCTCACTTCAAAAACAATTCGAACAGTCCAGAAAAGGCAAGAATATAGTCCCTATCATTGTGGAGTAGCCCCCCTCCCCACCCCCCCCCCTCCCCCCATCACGGGAGTTTCAGACAGGGATATTTTTCCGTGGGAAGAAAAGTAATTTGATGAGAGTTATTAACCGATACCTTGAAGAAAACTTTACATCTCTCCAGCAGAAATTGCACTTTTAACTCTGTCAACTGAGACATAGTCCAGGAGGCCAAATCCATTGCCTTGTAAGGAAGAAAGAAGAAAAATGAATATATATCGAGCCCCTGTTTCTTTGGCATGTAACATCCTTCGCTTATGAACCTTTTTCATATATAACCTCCTCCGCTCAAGATCTCAAGACACATCATGGACTTAAGATAACTATGATAATTATTCCTGTGAGAACTAGTTTGATTTCAAGATGATGTTTCAGTAAGCCTCTGAAATCAGTTGGTATCAAGTCCAGGAAGCGCCTTTTCTCCATGTTTTGAGAAAACGACGGAAAATTTCTGTCCTTTTCCACAGCGTCAATAGTTTCAGATGGCTCGAAACAAGCAAAACAGATACAAATAAACCGATAGTGTTAGCTCCACAGGTTTGAAGTTTAAACTTACTTTACATCCAAACATGTCCTCTGCACATTTTTCAGTAAGCCTGCAATTTTCTATGGTTCCAGTGTGGTCAGATACAGAGACTGCCAATTCATACTGTGTTTTTATTCTCTGCTGTGAGGTTGAACTTCCAGCTTGTGGATTCCGCGATGCGGCGCACTCTGAGTTTGAACACGTCTCGCTAAGAAGAGCGACTCTTTGGTTACACATTACACTAAAACAAGAAAGAAACAAAACGGTAAGAAAATTAAATATAAAAGCATCAAGTTTGAGAGCTACATCCGAGAAACTAAAGATTATACTATGCTATATTTTGTGCCAAACCTTTTTTATCCGCAAAAAACTAAGAAAGCGTTTTGCACCAACTTGCAACAAAAGTGCCGGTAATTGAAAGACAAAAGTTCTTGGCCAAAAGAAAAAAAGGAAGGGGAATAAGTAAAGAAAAAAAACCTCTGTAAATGCTCTTTCTTCATAAGTCGAACGCTCAAAATTATTTTTTTTGTTTGACTTTGAGATAAAGTGTATTAATTTACTAGGTCCCTATGAAATCAAAAACCGAGTAGTTTGATCTGTGCAGAAAAATGAAAACACAGGAAAACTGTACTCACCATCGAGAAGCGATTATTCGCTTTAAGTCATTGTCAATGTCGAATGAAGTCAGGAAACCATAAAAAATGCCCAGTGTTGGGAACTGTTGAGGATTGCTGTCCAGATGTGCCATCAACTGCTTGAGTTGTTGTATGCTGTAAACGTCTTTTATATTCTCGACTAAAGGGCCGGAAAGAAAATGAAAAGAAAAACCAATTAGAGAAGTTTTGACAGTGCAAACAGGTAAGATGAAAAGATCATGTACGCATTGCGCATCTATCACTGTTCTGAAGTATTTCAGCCCTGCTTGATACAAGGAAGCATGAAACTAACCATCCAACGATGACTCAGGATTGTTCAAAAGATCGTCATCTAAAAGTTCCAGTGACTGCGCATAGTTATACAGATAACGTGCCTCCATGGTGTCTGAAAGTCATAACGACAGGAGAAGGATTATACTTCACCTGCGATCAGGCGTTTTTTTAGGGGGGGAAGGGAGGGAGGGTATGATCGCAGGTTAGATTATACTGAATTACAGAATCTCGTCGGAACCATGATAAAATTTCGGTTTATTTTATCTAGCCACCCCTTTTCCGGCTCAAGATTTTACATTTCTAGCTCACGCTTTTGTTTAATAAGTCTCCGCCAAACGAAATAAAGGTCATCAAGAGCGCATAATCTTAATTTTCAGGCCGAGCAAAGAGCAAGGGGTAACACTTATTTCTGTACGTCTCTTGTGGTCTTAAAACATTCTCGGGAGCTCAACAGAGGGTCTTAATGGGGTTAACTGTTAGCTATAAAACTGGTCAAGAATTTAGTATTAGGCACAAACGTGAAAGTCTCAAAGATCTCGTGCCAAGGCTTTTTTGTGTTTTGTCATCGATTTAGTATAGAAAGTTATCTTAGTCCACAATTCATATAATAATACCTTTTTCCATCTCGGAAAGGTTTTGAGACCTTAAATATGTACTGCAGAAATCACAATAAATGTTTAAATTTTTTAAACGATGAAAATTAATTTAAACCTTTTAAAACAATGTGTTAATGGTATAATATTCGATTGTGAGATGAAAAAATGATAATTGCATTATATCTTAATTCTTGGTCGTTGCTTAAATTAATGTTTATTCTAAAAGAAATCATGTCTTACTTGGATTTGCAGTGATAATTGTTTTGTTATCGCAAGTGGCAATCATGCACTTTTTAAAGTCATCAAATGTGACTTTGACATCGGCGATAAAAAGAACTATAAAAGATAAAAGAAATTCGTGTTAGAAATCACGACTGAAAGTATACAAGGTCTCAGAATTCTTATTTAGAATCAGAACTGATATTTCTTGAATTTAACAGCTTTTCCTTACTTATATCTTTAGGTGTCCACATTTGAGCTAATTCTATTTTGTCCTCGTCCCACCTGAAGACAAACGTTTGGACGGAAAATAGTAAGGTGAACGTTATTTTCTTGTAGTAGGAGGAAACGTGCACATGTAACTCAGCAGTAGTTAAATGAGTAATAACAACGTGCAATTTAATGCAACAGCAAGAACAATCGCTGTTGAAGACTGAAAGTACTGTGGTCTCTTTTTCCGTTTTCAGGCAAGCTTGAAAAAATGTGGTGGCGATCAGCATTTACATATAAAATACAGCTATTCATAAAATTGCACTTTAAAAAAAAAACAAAAAAAAAAACAAGAAGATATATATACTAAACATTTACATTAAAAATTACAACCATTCTGGAGATTATGTAAAAACAAGCATTTAAAAAGAAGAGCAACAACAACAAACAAACAAGCAAAAAATTGTACCTAATTTACAGTACATACATGATTGATACGGTCTTGATCCATAAAATGCTTAAAAATATGTGTTTTAAACTTAAAGAGTGTTTAATTCTCTGATCTCTCTTGGTAATCCGTTCCATTCTCGTGCAGCGTCACACTTGAAAGTAGACTGACCCATTTTCGTTTTAGTTGGTGTGACGTTTAAAGTGTTAAGTCTTTAAGTATTCTTCCATGCAGATCAGACCTCTTAACAAGATATCCCTCTAACTGGTGCGGACAGTGATATGGACGTTAGCATATAGAGGTCGTAAAAAATTCGACTGTTACTTATAATTCAAAATTGTTAGTATAGTATGATAGCCAGCTCTATAAGCTTTAATTTGATATATAGGGGCTTAGGTATTCACAGTTTAAACTGGACCCGTCCCGGCCGTCCGGACGCGCTACATCGCTTGGACCCGAGTCGGAGACATCGATTAAGATATACGGTAACCTTAATAAAATCGAGAGAGCTTCATATTTGAAGTTGGACATACTTACATGACTAAAGGAAATGACAGGCTTGTCTCGTCAAAAAGCGTCGCTTCACACCTCCTCACATGTTTTCCTGTTTTAGTAATTATGTCTCTTGGCGCTCTAACCTTCAAGCGGTAGAAGAGATATTAAAGGTCCAAAATACCACCTTTTACTAAATTAGTTAGCTACATTTAGCAAAGTCTTCTGCACAAGAACACAACGCCAGCTTTGGAAGTGTTGCTCTTAAACACTTTACACAACAGCCTGACCGTTCTATCCTAGACCAGGAGCCTTTCATTAGGAGCGTTCAACTACCCATATTCCTGACACGGCGTTTTCACAAACCGATCTATTTTTAGTTTGAATTTACTGCGAATTGAAACCCCTGCAGGAACCTCAGTGACCAATCACAAGCACGGAATTAATTTTAAACTGACGTCATCATTTCACCGGAAGAAGTGATGGGCTCCTGATGTGAGGTAAACCATTTTTTTCCTTACCATGGTCTGGGAATAGAAGCCTAAAACTAGACCGGTCTGTATGCCGTGGCATAGGCTTAGTGTGGAAGTTGCACGCTCCTAGTGATGGGCTCCTGCCGTCGCTCCTGCCTAGAATCTGAACTGAAACGTATATTTTTAGAAATATAGGCACGCAACACGTGCAGAGGGCGGAAAGAATACAAAGGTTGTACGGCTTTAGTTCTTGGCACGCTGGGTGATTCAAGTAGTGATTAACAATTATTATTATTATTTTTTTAAGAATCTAGAGTTACTCTCATTTGATTATCCAGAGGAACGGCTTGCTTTAAAAAGGTTTAAATTACAGCTACCAGCGGACTGAATGTACTTGTTGTACAGGGTGAGTTGTTCATAAAGAATGAAAACATGTGTTAAATATCTTGTATAGAAACGGGAACTTGTGTTAATGTGAGTTATTTTTGCAGCTGTGGGGCTTATAAATTTCTCATTTCTACATACTTACGCTCTTGACTACAGCTTGAATGTTGACATGTTCCCCGTGCAAGTTCTGATCATTGGCTATTATATCTCCTAATGTATAGAAGTCATTACTTGCTTTGATCGGTATGTGTGAGATATTGTCAAACTCGCTCATGTCGCATCCATTGAATAAACTGACAGATGAATGTGTGTCACTAACATGTAACTGGTATGGACTGCATAGAAAAGAATCTGAGGTTAATATCACTATTATTGCGTGCAGAGCTTAATTAATTTCAGAAAACAGACTTTTCTTGGAAAATTATGCTTGATATATAGTGCTCTTGGAAATTTCAACATAAGTGCAGGAAGTCAAACTAGGTATATGTGGATTAGATGGGTTACTAGGGTGAGAGAGACAGAGGGTTTGTTATATGAGTGTCAAATGAGTGTGTCTGTCCAGGATTCTATTTAATAAAACTGATTGACAGACCGATTTCCATCATTAATTTAGTCCCTGTCAATAAATTCACTTCCTTTTAATTTACTATACTCTTGCCACAATAAATTTTAGATATAATTATATATACCTTGGCGTCCAAGGCCTCCATCTTTGCTCAGTTTCATTACTTTGCTTGTTTTGGATTTGTGGATTTCTTACTTCCACTGTAAAGAAAAGTAAAGAAATGTACTTTAATTTTGTTTCAGTTGAAGCATTTAGTTCTCCAAAGGCCTTCAAACGTTTATTACCAATTTATAAGGCTTTAAGCTTCTGAAACTTTGTTAAAACTAAAAGAGATCAGCCAAAGAATTCAGCTTAATTGAATAATATAAGGGTTTTTTTGTATGCAAGCTCAATTCTTTTTTCGTACCTACGTCGTTTAATTTGAAGGAATTTGCAAGGTTCTTGATGAATGTTTCACTGCCCCAGCAGTTAACGTTGACAAAGTCTGTAGGCGTATCTCTCAGTGTAAAAAAGAAGTGATATTTTTCGCTCCCTGGGTCTGCCGGCAAAAGTAAAAAGCAATAAATTATTGTTAGTCAAGTACACCTTAAAGCTCATAGCATTCAAAAAAGTTCTTGCAAACTTACTCTTTCTGTCTGGAAAAGAATGAAATCCCTGCTTAGCGATGACAAGTCCCACTAAGTTCTAAAAAAATAAAGAAAATAAAGACAACAATCAACTTGAAAACTAAAATGTTTAAGTTCTAAGTTTGCAGAATTACGCTTAAGTTGATTTTTCCTACACAGTTGTTCATTCCTTGGCACAAGTCGCGGATGGAAGTTCGTCCTTTGGAAATGTCTCCGAAATCGCTGGCAGAGAAACCTGTGCCATCAGGCCAAGCTGCCTGCGTCCCAAAGCCATTAAAAGTCATCTTCAAGTTTGTTTATGAGAGTTTATCATAATGAAACTCCAAATAGGAAATAAAGAGATTAAAATGTTTTCAAATTTAACAAGGAAGAAAAAGAAAATCACGAGTTGAAAGTAGAAAAGAAGCTGATTGGTTGGTTCGGGAACTTCGAATTTTGCGCGGGAAAATGAAGAGCGAGCGCGGCGACCATATTACCCACAACTCCCTGCTAGATGTACTCATCACGCATGTGCACAAGCAAATGGCGGAAAGGAAAGTAGAACGAGATGGACAAGTTATTTTGGTAAAGTTCTCGCCATGTGAGGCCTTTTTGTCGACGTAAATCGATGGCTACCAGGTAAAGTCAGTTTTAAATCTCACAGAAATCGAAAGAAAACTTTATCGTTGAGGTGTTTGTCTTGTTTTGCTGTAGACTTGAACGGCTTTTCCTGCTCCTGGACACCGGCTCCACAGCGGTCACTCGGAAGGCAGCAGCTCAACAGCTCGGCGAAGTGCAAAAACTACATCCTCATGAGCTTCAGAATCTCCTTAGTAGGGTAGGGGTCTTGTTTTTAACGCTCTGGATTAAAGTATCTATGACACGTTGGGCTGTCTTTAATGACTGTATAAATGGTTGTAAATAATTCAGGTCAATATTCGCTTTTTTAACTCTCATACATGTTAAGTTTAAGGTTAAGCTTATATTAAGGTCAAAAAATCTTTTATAAGGAAAAAGGCCCTCGATTTTTACAGCATGGATATTTTTTGATAAGCCCAACGTTATCTTAAATAATTACTTCTGAGAATTTTTTTGTTACGTGGATTGAAATAATATATATTTTCAATTACTGCAGATTTGTACATGCAAACTCTAGTTAATTCAAGCAGGCATGTACATGTATATTATGTAAACAGTGTCAGACTATCTTAGGTCAAAGGGGTATTTTCTTTCATTTGGAAGATCATTCACACAGATGTAAAGTTTAGGCAGTGATTTGGAGATAAATAAAAATTGATTGTGAGTCAGTTAAAGTGAGACTATGAATGACAATAACACCACTGACAATTATTTTAGGGTGCATTCCTTTGGGGTGATTTGGATCTGGATCAGTGATCCAAGATCACTCTGGATCATGGTACATCAAAGGAACCGATGAATCCATGACCAGAGTGGATTCATTCCTTTGATGCACCATGATCTGAGTGATCCTTGATCACTGATCCTGATCCAGATCACCTCAAAGGAACGCACCCAGTGATGACACATTTCAAGTACAGCATTGCTCCTTTACCATATTTAATGTTGTATGACAGGTCCATGTCTTTCTGAAGAGTAGCAGCTGGGATACGAGGATTGCTGCAGGGCAGGCCATCGAGGCTATTGCACAGAATGTACCTCAGTGGAATCCAGCAGCACAAAACATCAAAGGTATGATCTGCAAATACAAGCTGGAATTGTTAAAAAAACACCTGTATAGTTCTTAGCAAATGCCTTGTAGCCATTTAAGGATAAAAGAAGGCTATATCTGTCAGGAAAAAGGAAAATGTTGTATGTGCACAAACTTGGCCACTGAAGTTTTTTGAAACCACTATACTACAGTGTATGACATTTTATATTTCATTTTGTTTTCAAAATACAATATTTGGTATTACTAAGCTATATACATGTAAGATTCCCAATATGGGCACTGATGGCTATCCAGTCAAGTGGTCATATATTTGGCAGCTTAATTAAAGCATGTTGTTAGACAGGAATGGTTTATTGAATTTGTTTTCTGTTTTTCTTCTTTAAGTGGAACTATCAGAAGGCAGCAAGACAGTAGTTAGCGGGGAGACAGTTGAAAGTGAGCTGCTAGAGTTCTCCAAGTTTGATATCAACCGTGTGTTGAAACATGGAGAGCGTCTTGTCGGCTCCTCAGGGGCTGAATACGATCTCCCTGATGAAGATTTTGTAGGTGAGTGTATCAAACTTTTAACTCACTAGGTTGAATGTTGCATGTACATGCTCCAGGTCTGATGCTGCGTGAATATCTGGGTAACATTTCTGACTTGTTAGTACAGTAGGCTACCTTGCAACCATGCCACTAAAACAACCACAGTTATTTTATGTATGATAACTTCCTTAATGTGACCTACAGTAATCACTTTGTCAGTGAACGCCCTAATACAGTGTATGATCCCATTGCTGGTTGCATTATGGTTCCACTGCACTGTATTTGATTGTTATCAAGTTTGAAAAATGCAGTGATGAACTTAGATCATGTAAGCTGTTCTACATGTGCATATTCAGGAATAATTTGCTTAGTTTACAACTGTTAAACAACTTTCATATTGACAGTTTTTTTATAGGCAGTTGTCTGACTAGTGATTAATGTGTTAACAGTGTTTGTAATTTTGTTCTTATCTTTGTCAACTTAAGGCCTTGAACCAAAGGAGAGGTTAAATAGACAGCAAAAGCTACTCAGGAAACGACTTGGTTTAGATATCGCACCTGGAATAGATGTTGGAATGGATAAACTGTTTGATGATGAAGATCTGTTGATTAATCCTCCTGAGACCAAAGTGAAATCTTTGACAAAACAAAAATCGTTTGAGGTATGTACAGTGAAAACTCATGTGTATGTGTATGTATATGTTATTGCATATAAAAAAAACTCAACAAAACATTCCAAAATGTTGGAGTATAAAAAAGGCTCATAAAATCATGGTGTTATTACTTTATAGAGTGCAGCTGAAGTTGTGGCAGCAGAAATAGCCGCAATTAGCTCATCAGCTCAGCTTAGTTCACGAGAGAAGAACAGAGCCATTAGAAAAGCAAAAATGCTTGCTAAGCAAAGATCTAAAGAGGCGTCAAAAGAGGGAGACTCAGTGCAAGGATCATTTAACAACAGTGTGAGGTAAGGCTTGCATAAAGGGATGAGATATCAGAAGAATAGGCTTATAGCTGTATAATATTGCATTCTTTAAGGTTGCAACATTGGTTATTGGATTGAATCCAGGGATCACAAACTATTTGTTAATGCAACAACAACAACAACAACTTTATTATGACTCGTATATTTGCAATTTTATAAAAATATATACACATTAAGTTAAAAAAAGCTTGACAATAGCAACAGCGCGAACCCGCAGGTAGCCTGGGCTAATCTAGGCGGGCCACATCTATTGCATACACCAGGGGGTGTCAGGAAAACCTGAGTAGCGAATAGCAAATAGTCGCAAATAGTGAACAGCAAATAGTCCCATATAACAAATAGCGAACAGTGCAAATAGTCTCGAATATGTATGTACAGCACAGAGACCCTGTCCAAGCTCAAATATGGGCATCTGAATCCAAGCTCCAATGTGCTATGTACATTATAACAGAAACAATGTGGCCTAGAATTTTTTATAGTTGGTATGCAAATGAGATAATATTGGAGTATGGTAGCAATTGCTTCTGAAAAAAAATTGAGAATCTGCGAAGAAATTTGCTCACAAGGTTATGTTCCAAGCACTCACAAAAAGAGAAGCAATTAGGGAAAATGCATTTCTGCAATGTTCTGACAGCAATATCCTCAATGTTGTTCTTTTTTCTGGCCAAATAAAGCATTGACAATGACTTGGAAACAGACCAAGGTCCAGTTTCCAAGAAGCGCAAGACAGCTAGTGTTATTGTTGATCAGCCTGCAGAATCTGACAAGATGGTTGTGGATCAGGTTACAGATGTGTCAGCAACATTTGATGAGGTGTGTAATGACTCAGTCACAGGGTGTTTTCTTGTTAGCAGAACTTTTCCTTGGCAAGAGAGTAGCATTCCAGTGATCCCCACTATGGTGGATAGAGGCTTGAACCATACTAGTGACTGAAACTGTTGCAAGTATACCACTGTTCCTTTGGTGTGAATTGACTACTTGTAAAAGTATTTCTCCATATTAACACCACTTTGAGACCCTCCCTCTCCCTCCCCCTTTGAATGGGGCAATAGCCCATTCCAGTTTTGCCCACAGTATTTTGTATACATGTAGTTACTGTCCATTAACCCATTTGTACTTCTGGGTGGAATTAAGCGGAGGTGCAATTTCTTGTCATGCAGTGTCTTGTCCACGATCACAGTGCAGTGATTCTTGCCTGTGTTCAAATCCAAACAGCTTTATGTTGACTCCAGTGCACTAAACTTCAGCCATTCTTGTAGATGTAGCTGACCTTTTCTCACACAAGGCTTTAAGTGATGATCTTACCAGCATCATGTTTTGTCTTCTAGTCAACTGAATGGCCATTTGAGAACTTTTCCCAACAACTATGCCAGGATCTGTTTCATCAGTCATGGGAGGTTTGTTCTTTATTTTATGGTATTTACTTCAGCTTGTTATATCCATTGTACAGTGACAGTCATAACAATAATCAAAAGACCTGCCAAATGGAAAGATCAACCCTTGGCTTGAGCGCCTACATGTAAGAAGGATTTCTTTTTCTCATTTCTTTACTGTTTTGTGTGTGTAGCATAGTGTACAACTATGGTTACACCAAGATTTCAGTGACACCCATTTTCCTGTGTTAAAACTATCATACATAGATTAATTAAATATTGTTTTAGAAACCTGTGGCCTCATAGTATGCTCTGGAGTGTACTCTGGTGTATACAGTTCTACACAATAACACTTGGTTTCTCTGTAAAATAGGTTATGTCACTTAGCATCTCTTATACATGTAGATTCTCTTTCTGTTCAGTCTTCATTATTAAGACTTTTTGGTGTTATACACGTGTACCCCTAGGTACGTCATGGAGCATCCACGGGTCTCAGAGAAATAATTAAGGTTCATGGGCGAGGTGCAGGGAAAACCTTAGATTCATCAGCTGAAGATGTGAGTTATTAGTAAACAAATAATTATAAATCATGGTTGCCACAGGTCAGGAAAATAATGGTCAGGGGAAAAAATATTCAAGGTCAGAGATAAGTCAGTGAATTGTACTTTCATTTTTATTCAGGGAAAATTGACATTTTGAAGAAAAGTCTGGAGGGGAAAATTGAAATAATTTAACACGGCTGATTTAATACCATTGAGGGCTGGATGAAACATTTGAGGTCACCATGATCTCAATGGTATAGGAAAATGCGTTGAAAATTTATGAATGGGCAGAAAGTATGGCAGTAATGTGAGACCAAAAGCTGCTAGCAAATGTGACATTTTATATTTGTTTGTCAGGAACAAGTCAGGGAATTTTGGAAAGTGAGGTCTGTGGCAACCATGTTATTCTAATGACCTTTAATATGAATTGTCCAGTTACAATAACTATTATTCAAATAATTATGTGTAGTGCTGCCCAGTTTTGTGACACATGCTCAAATGATTGTAGATGGGTCTATTATATAAATTTTAGAGTGTCTTTCTTCAATTATTGTTCTTGCCGTTCATTCAGCTTCAGATTCAAAACAGGAAATGGTTAGAAAACATGTCACTGCATCTTCTCTGTGTCATGGCTCTTGATCGATTTGGAGATTTTGTAAGCGACGAGGTAAGTTTTGGCAACTGTTCTGGAAGTCCTATTGTTAAATAATCATTGATAATATTTCATGTCTTATTCCGTCAACTTTTTATTTGAAGTTGTACTGTGTAATTTAAGGTAATCTGAGACACATAATGCAGAGTTAATTTTGAAGTATTGATGATTTAGGGTAGGGCTTTAACACCCTCAGGTCTCTTTTGTCATTATAATTATCAGAAATCAAGAACCCAAGCTTGAATTGACATTATGCACTGTTGTGACTAGTTTAGTGACAGACATCAATATGTTTGTTAGCATTGATGGTGTTATTGATAACATGTGACAAACTGGTCCAAAACATTTAATTTTCTAGAGTTAATTTAACGTGCATTAGCCCCAAGGAAAAGTTTTACCTGAACCAACTGGGAAAAACATGTGTATGCTCATGAATACAGATATGTCTGCTCACAGGTTGTTGCCCCAGTTCGTGAGACTTGTGCACAGACAATAGGAGTGATCTTAAAGCACACTGATGCCGAGACTGTTAAGAGGGTGACGATGGTCCTGTTAACTTTACAAGCTCAGGAAGAATGGGAAGTGCGTCATGGTGGATTGATGGGACTCAAGTATCTCATGGCTGTCAGACAGGTACAGAATGATCAGATAACCTTTTTTTGTAAAATAACTGAGATAAATGTACTACACACACTCCCATTGGTCGATAGGCATGTTTAGATGAGGGTATGTAACCGGGTTGAAACATTTTAGATTTGCACATATTTTTGAGAAATATGTTATAAAAGCAATAGAGTACTTTTTCTGTGTTTACATAGCCTCATCTAAATGCTTGGGGGGTTGAGAGAATTCTTGAAAGTTATTTAAATCTCTGAATCTCTGGCTTGCATTACTGTCTTGAATTCTTCAAACCCCTGTCTGTTTAGATGAGGCTATATAACTGCGGAAAAAGTGCTCTTGACTATTGCTTATAAAAATTAATGATTGCAAGTTGCAACAAGAAGTTGATTTGATTGCATGTTGGGCAATGCAAAGAAATTCTTTTACATGGATGTCTTGGTGAGCAGCATAACCCATGAGCTACATGTAGTGATGAACTGTCAGGCAATAGATACATATCTAGGTAAGCTATACTATACAATGGTGTAATTCTTTAAACATGATAGTGTAATGTCACAAACTGGCCACTACCAGCCTGAACTTATAACCTGTTTTAATAGCATTTTTCTCATGTCATTTTCCCCTTTATTACAACAGGATCTAACAGAAGATTTACTGCCACTGCTGTTAGATCCTATTGTAACAGCTCTGAAAGATGATGATGACGATGTTCGTGCAGTGGCTGCGTCAGCTCTGTTACCTGTAGCAGAGTCATTAGTTACATTTGCTCCAAATCGTGTAAGTACAGGAAGCTTTACTTGTAGTACAGGATGCTTCAGAAACTTTTTCATTTCCTTTAGCCAGTCTGTGGTGCTTACATCAGTAGTATCTAGTTACTCAATGGTTGTGTTGCTAATATTAAATTAATTCTATCATTGCACTTATGTCCAATGCTGCATTTTCAACTTGTTTTATTTCATCTCATCTCATCTCATCGCGTCTCGTCTGGTCTCGTTTTGTCTCTTCTCATCTCGTCTTATGTCGTCTCGTCTCATCTTGTCTCATTTTATTTTATTTTATTTTTTCAGGTGCAGGAAGTCCTTGTGACTTTATGGGACACACTCGTCGAACTGGATGACTTGACAGCTTCAACTAACAGCATTATGATGTTACTGGCGAGAATTCTGTCCCGTCCATCTGTTGCCCTGCAAGGAACAGGGGGCAAGGATTCCTCTCTCACTGAACTGGTGCCACGACTGTGGCCTTTCTTCCGTCATAATATCAAGTCAGTTCGATTAGCCGCATTAGAAACTCTAAAAACTCTTCTGGTTGGAAATCTGAAACATAAGGTGTGTAAAATGCTAACTGAAATCCATTGCCTTGATAGGAATCTTTTTAGTTCTAGTGTTAAAAAAATCTTTTACATCTTGTTGTTTATGTGTAGGTTTTAGATTAGATTTTAGTGCATACAACATTTTCAAAGTGTAATTTTGGTTCTGCAATGGGTGCTGTTTTTTAAATTGTCAAACTGGCTTTTGACTATTGTGGTAAAATGCAGACCAGGACAGAACCATGATCAGAGCACTCAAATTTACCTTGAGACTACCCTGCCATAATATAATCATGGTGCTTATTGAATCCTTACTTGTTATTTTACATGACCTGAATATGTTTCACCCAGTGACATAATATTATCATTACTTGTTTTGTTACATTTCAGGCTGAAAATGAAAAGATGCCAGAATGCTTGTGGCTAACACCGATCCTGCAGGATTCATTGAGGCATATTTACCAAAGATTTATTCTGGAATCTGATGGTGATGTTGTAGAGATGGTCTATAAGGTTATAAAAGACAAGAGCTTGTTAAAATATACTAAGATTTTTTTGCTTTCACATTCTATGACCAGGTTACCTGTACTGTAATCATCACACTTTCCTTTAGAAACTTTGGTTTTTGAAACCCTTTGATCCCTTTGGAATTCAATAGACCTTCCTTGGGCTGGGTATGGGAATTTCCTAAAACCAAACAATGGCTGACGTACAAGTACATGTAGTATAATGTAATTGTATAATTTACCACACCCAGATTTGTAATTAGTCAATCAGAAGCCATGTCCACTGTCCTGATGTCAAGTCACTGACCTGATATAGCCACCACATCATGTCCAGTTGGCTGAATTTGGGTACCATAATTGTACCTTTTTTGATGCATTTCAGCAGCATATCAGCCCTGTTAGGTCTTGCCATGGCTCAACCAAGCTCATCATAACCCCCATTTCCCTCCTGCTGAAAACGTTATTGAAACCCCTGGGTATGCCACCAAAGTGTACCAAAAAGGTGCAATTAGGTATAAGTACAGATCAGGGGATGAGCACACATTAAATATTTTTACTGACATTGACCCACAGCTTTTGTCCTTTCTTTTGTTCTAACATTAGGTGTGGAGTGTGATGCTGGAGAGATCAGCCAAGAGTCACCTAGGAAGCATTACAATTCCGTTCCTTAACAGTTGGCTTGGTATGACCATGATGCCAGCCTGTGCTCCAATTGATCATACAGCTCTTATCCAAGCTCTGCACAGAACTCAGAACAAGGTACTCTACGCTTTGGTAATATTCACTTTTGTTGGTAGCTATTTTACTCACGGTAGTGCAATGTGTTGTACTACAATGTGTATAGTAGTGACACAAGGTAATATACTTGTATATCAGGGAGTAAGAAAAAATATGAATGATCAAGTCACAGAGTTAAGCCTGATAAAGGAATCCATAAACATAAAATGTTAATTAGCATGCGGTTACTGTGCTCACGTGAAACAATAACACAATGTGGGAACAAATTATTATTATATGGTTATTATACTGACAGTAGTTAAAAAATCCTTTGAGTCCATTTCCAGCAATGACAACTTATAGCACCCACTGTAATGACTGACTTGTGACAAATAGTGACAATAATTTGATTGGTTCTTTCAGGGAGACTGCAGTGTAGATAGAGCACACATGATTAGAGGCCGACCATTACAGACTCATACTGAACCTCAATCAGAAGTTATAGGGGGTGCCACCCTTGCCACTAGTTTGTCGGCACGTGAGCCAGCAGTATTACGAGCGAGGCTTGCAGCATCAAGGTACGTGTAAGTGCAAATGTACTATACATTACTTGTATAGCATGTACCATTTCTGAGACTTTATTCAAGATAGTTTGATAGGCTTGATCTATGTTCAGTGGCAGTAAATTTATTGTAAGAAAGAGCGTGGATGAAAATGCAATTATCAACACAGTAGTCTTTCATACCAGAATAGTGCAACTATCGGCAGTGGGTTGATGATCGCCGATGTCAGGTGTCGGTTTCAAAGCTGGAATGCTGTCCTGGACTAAGTCCATCATGTTAGAGTTCTTAGAGAGAAGTGACTACTCAAAAGTGGTTGGAGAGAAGGATTAATTGAATTACAGAAAAAAAATTGCATTGAAAGATTCAGCCCTGTGCTTAGGCAATTATGGTGCGCAGAAGCTTCATAAAAGTCAAGTGCCTGGTGTAAGAATCACTTTCTTATCAATTTTATTATGATGGCTAGGGTGATTTTCACTTATGAGACATTAGTAATTCACATTTTCTTTGGTTTTGCATTACCATGCAAAATGATTTCCTTAAAAATCTCATGCATCTTTGTCATCCAATCAAGAGCAAAACCAAAACCAATCACAACTAACTTGCACATGTTTTCCCAAGCATTGCGTCAGCTATCGGCCAGAGTGATTACTTTGGTTTTGATTTTATGAGCTCTGAAAAGTGCTCTAGCATATGCACATGTCTTTAACCTCCATTAAGCCATGACTTTCTTCTCATTAACATTATACATACAGAGCCCTTGGACTGTTAGCATCTCATTATGCCAAGTGTCCTGTTGCCCATGACAATGACACTCATCCTCTTGGCTTTCTGATGCAAACTCTACAGTTTCCACATGGGTCAAACTCAGGGATCCAGAGAATGTGTGCCTCGTTAATATTGACAGAGTGGGCCAGCTGTCAAGTGGTAAATCTCATTTCAATGCATTGTACTCTGTTGTACATTTCTTTATTTCTTTTTTTCTTCAGCTTCTTGGCAGTCTGGAATCCTAAATCCTTGAATCTGATTGGCTAATTGTGTGTGCTCCAGCGGTCTTGATTTTCCCATCTGGACCCCAAGTATAGACCGCTCCAAAATTTCAAACTGTGGCAACTTTTCAAGGTTTTTGTTACACCCTAAAACAACATGTAAATGTAAACATTCAACAAACTGTATCACTTTTTTGGCGAAAATGTCAAATGCCCATGTGCACTAGATTTGAACTGAACACCTTAAATTAAAATTCACCATAAAAGTCGCTTTTAAAGCAATACCATAAAGAAAAAAATAATAATGTTATTTGCTGGCCTTGGTCAGTCTGCATTGGGAAAACTATTCCCTCGATCTTGAGTATGGCCCTCAGCCTGTGGCCTCGGGCTGTACTCTTACGTACTTAGATTTGTTCATTTTGTTGTGTTAAGGAATGCAAGTGTCCTGAAGAAAATGTGATGCAGTTAAACAACATTTTATCTGACCAAGTTGTATATGATGAGATTGCTCTCCTAAATACAAGACTGCAAACAGATTGTCAGGTACCTGCTGTTACATATGGTATAAAAAATACAAAGGTGTTGATAGCTGTAGATACATGGCAATTTTATGAAATAGCAAAATTATTTTCAATTTAGATTTCTTACAGAGTGACATGTTTTGACAGTCCTACTGTAATCATTGGCACAATGAATACAATTGAATTTAGAATATTTTCGAAAGTTGAAAATTATGATACAAAAGAATTAGAAACATATTGATAATTTAGTTACCAATTGAAATTATAATGATAATGCTTAGTTGATTGATTAATATTCATTCACTGAGCAATGGCATCTCCCACTGAATATGGATAGCTTCGTTAATCTTAAGCTGAAAAGTCCATTGGAGCAGAATCTTACTACATGTGTTTTAGCTTTGCTTTGAGACATTGTATAACTAATTATACATAAAATCTTTACGCAGGGCCTGCTTATAGCACTACGAGAGAAAGGGGTTGATGCCTCAGCTGGGATTCAACCAGGGTAAGAGATATGCATCACACAACATACCTAAGGCCAGAACCTAACAACCCTGTTGATGTGTGAAAATGCTTTGGTTCAAATTTATTTCAGGCTTACATTTTTCAAACCAGTTTGAATTTCTGTTGCTTGTTGTTTTAGATTATGACAATCAATATGAAACACTAAAAAAACAAAAATCAAACTGAGTTGGAAAATTTTCAACCAAAGTTTTACAGTGTGAGTGTCATTTCAGTAACTAGTTTAACCCCCTTTGTACATGTTATGTATGAAGTAATGGAAATTCAGCATACATGTAATTACATGTATGCCACAGTACTTTGCAAAACTAATGCAAGTGAAATGTGCGAATTTTGTTCTTTGTCTTTGCAAATTTTCATTGAAAAATCGCGCGAAAATTCAAGGGAAAAATCGATGCGTTTCGAGCGATAATTCGCTTGAACAATAGGGGAAATTTCATTAGATTTTCAACACCTCTACGAAATTTCACGATTAACAACGTTCCTTCACCAGTAAGTACGTGAAATTTCGCTACACACAGAGCCGAATTTCGACAGCATATCAAGCAAAGTTAATCGCGTAACTGATTCAATCGCTCATTATGTAATTTACATGAAATACAGTTTGATAACTGTTGAATAAACTGCGTGCCGAAGCGTGCTGTATTTACTTACATAATAATGAATTATTGAATAGGTTATTGACAAGGCATCTGTTCAAGATGGCTAGTTATTGCCAAAGGTTTTTTTTTTCATCTTTATGACCCAAAGATGCATTTGAGCTCCATAGACACATAATAAAATGATTGAGGCTAATATCAATCCATCTTGACATAGCAAGCTTGATCAATAAAGGATTTATGGCATGAGATAAAGAAACATGATTTTCATGTGAAAGCAGCAGGAAACCCCAAGTATTGATTCCAGTGAGCAAGATAGCACCACCTTGCCTGCTCAGATAGCCAATCACAGTGTAAGATTTGGTTCAATATGCCCTCTCACAGAATTCCACATAGCCATATAATAAGCTGTGTTGTTATAAAATTTAATTTTATTAATAGTACAATGTAAATATTAGAATTTTTATATTGGTAGTACAGTGTATGATATTGACTATGGTAGTTCTGAATCAGTGTGAGCTGTTGCTTGACTGCATGAAATAAATAGTGTTTTGCTTAATCTCTAGCTGTTACACTGTTGACAATGCTATTAAGCTGGCCTCGGATATTTTCACTGAAGTTTCTAAAAAATTCTCACAACAGGATCTCAAGGTTTGTGAATATGTTGTGAATACCATTGTGCCATTTGATTTACTAATAAAATGAAAGGGTTGCACTGTTTGTAACCCCCAAAAGAGGGAATCCCTTATAGCACAACGGCACTGATTGTCAGAAGATGTTGAAAGCAAACCCTCAGACTTAAGGTACCAGTCCCAATGATCTTATTTTGAGGGTGTGACATGAGAGGTATTACTAATTCTTTCTGACAACAGCTGAGACCTGTTATTTTTTTTTTTCAGCAGAAGGTATCAGAAAAAAGTCTTTTTAATAGTAGCCAGTACCATAATATGAATTTTAACCCCTGAAAGGTATAATGAGCACTCCACCCACAGCACAGCATTCAGTGCACTTGTCTGGCTTCTTTTATATGTCTTGTTGATTACATGTATTTCTTGTTTTTTCTCCTTGTCTGTACATGTATTTTAAATGTTCTTCACCTAAATGGCATAAGAAGGGTCTTATTGGGTTATTTAAACAGGGGTAATTTTGGAATCATTTTCTAGGCAGCAGAAGTAAAGAGAAGGCATCTAATGACAACAATAGGACAGCTACAGTCTGAGTACCAAAAGCTTCACATCAGGTTTGGATATTAATTTTATTAACCTTTCCTGAACCACAGTGTGTAACGTGTAATTTCAAACAAGAGGGCATGATCTAAGTTATAGTAGCTGGCCATGTTTCAATAAGATCTGTTTGCCTCCTTTCAGTATCATTGATATTAACAATAATTTTTATTTGGTCGCTCCTTTTCCATCTTTGCATAGTAAGGCCATCATAACAGAGATAAGGCCTCATTTAGGCTCACCAGGGAAGCAGAACTCAAACAGGATACACCTGTTTACACTGTCAAGATTCTCCTCTTTATCCTCCTACATTTCACATATACCATTTAAAGTTGCTCTCAGATATTAGTATAAATCTACTAGCATTCTATCACGAATGTCGTTCTCTGATTAGCTACGCTACCCACTATCTATTCTGTGATAGATAGTGAGTAGCGTACCAGTGTGTGCTTGTTAACAAAATGACAGCCACTTCTTGGCGTTTTCAAAGTCTGTGAAGAGGATTTAGATAAAGTTTTGAATGCCTAGTAGATTTATACTAAAACAATTAGATTATTCGCTCTCGATTTCTATGTGTGATAGTTGACTTGGGCTGCGCCCTCATCAACTATAACGCGATAGAAATCTCGACCTCATAATCTAATTGTTTCCTAGAACTTCTGGAGAGTGTGCTACACCTGTAGTAGAAAGCATGAAGATTTTGATTAACAGACCATATTGGTATTCTCAGAATCGGACTGGAACTAACCTGGAATGGAGGCTCGTGCGGCGGAATATCATTAAAAAGAGATTAATGTCATTTGCATTTGAAAAGACTCCCTGCATTAGCCTCAGTTGCTAGCTGCAGGTAGTTTCAGTCCAGTATAAGGAATACGAAAATAGCCTATAGTGAGACATGATATTCAAGTAACATTCAATGCACATGTATTGTCCGTTCATGGTGCATAGGGTTCAAGCAAGTGTTGCCAGCACTTTGATCTTCCTCAATAAACTTCCCATGAAGCTGAACCCTGTTATCAGGCCAATTATGGATTCTATCAAGAAAGAAGAGCAAACTATCATGCAGGTCTGTACAACTCACTTAATGTATTAATAATAATTTTTGAGTTAGGATAATAATCGAGAAATCTGGATAATTGAGGTTCAACTGTAATGACCTGTTAGAGATCAATGTATTGTTTTAATTTATCATTATTAAATGTGCTAGGGAGGAAAAAGTGTTTTTTTTTTTTGTATGGCCACCCCGTTTATATGACTGCGTTGTTATTACGGCCACTTTATTCTGGCCTCAAGAAAAGCTCAGTCAGTCATTTTCTTATGTAAAGAACCACGCTCTTTAAACGGCCAGATTTTTGTGGCCCGTTGGTGACTGGAGTAACGGGGTGCCACTTTATAGGGTAAAGGGGAACTCAGAAGGACACTACAAAGGCTAATAACAAAACGAAGAATTTAAAATGAAGTGGCATAATCCATAAACCATGTTGACATCTTTTATTTTCCCTTTCATGGCAGACACGGTCAGCACAAGCATTGGCCAAGCTTCTGGAGCTGTGTATGCCAAGAGAACCATGTCCAAATGCTAAGATCATAAAAAATCTTTGTACTTTTGCGTGTAGTGATCCTGCCGTCACCCCAGCTGTCAATCTTAATTTGTCAGTAGCTTCTGATGATCTTCCTCCACTGTCACCGACACCAGCAGGTCAATCAGAGTCAAACTGCACTTCGTTTCCTGCTGGTGGGACAACTACGACATTGGAAAGAGGAAACACTGTACAGTGTGACCAATACAATGGAATTCTTAGTCTTGTACAGCAGCAAAAGGTACTTCATACAACATGTGGAGAGATTTGCTGTTTTAAACTTCCATTTAATCTTTATAACATAGTCCTAGATAACTTCCTGGACATTTTCTTGTATAGCATTATAATTCCACTTAGTACTGTTAAACCTATTTCACATTGAAAGAAAGAAACAAACAAAACCCAGTAAAAACAACAATGACTTGTGACAACAAAACAACACTGGAAACTTCATGTGTCTTACAACTATGTTGATAAAATTTTGCAGGCTGTAAAAAGTTCACTTGGTCATTGCAGCAAATTGCCTTGTTAATTTTGAAAGACCTTGTTTAACCATGTTAAAATACTGATAGCCAAAACAATTGTGCTAGGGAAAAGAGTTCTAAATTATACTATTAGTGTATTGTGAGACTTCTAGTGGACTTATACTATTAATGGTATTATACTAATAGTCTTAAAACTTTTTATACTTAATTTGCACTTTGGTTTACAGAATGCTAATATGTCAGCTCAAAAGAAATCAAGTGGCGGGGCAGGTCGTACCAAGGTCTTACCAGCTGGAGTGGATGGTGTGGCAGTACCCTCTATTGATGAGAGTGGTGGAGAGGACTTTGAGGTATGTTCTGTCTTTGATGTTCTTAAACTCATTAATAATTTATCAAGCTTAAACAAAGGAAAACACCTTGAATTCCATCAAAAATACTCTGCTATGCATCGTATTTTCAACTCTCTTCTCGGTGTTTGAAAATGTGATCAAACACGGTCTTTCGTGTTTGATGTATTACTTTTTGTGGGAAACAAAGTTAAGTTTCTTGTGAGATCGTGTTTTGACATACGCTTTAGTCGGCAATATATTTTAAAGCACTAGGTTTTACACTGTAGGGTTGCACAACGTAGAAAGCACAAAATGATTTCAAGTATTGCTGTAGTGCTCTTCTCAAACTCATTAATTATTCATCAAGTTTGAACGTAGGAAATCTTAGCCATGACTGTGTTGGATATCTGATCTTAATTAGCATAGATTTTGTCAATTACATTTTTCCATTTTCTCCTTTGTTAATGTTTGGATTGAAAAGGTATATCAAACAGTGGAGGCAGTGTCCAAACACCTTGAAGTTCGTTAGAATATTTTCAACAGTCTTCTTTTGTATTGAAATAAAAATAGTCCCTTGTGTTTGATATATAATGTATTGCATAAAATGTAGAACATGATTGGTGCCATTAACAGTGATTGGAGCCCCCTTTCATCTGACGATAGTCAAGAGTACAGTGAAACCCCATCAATACGGTCACCATGATCCCAATTGCACTTCTAAACAACTCTTCTTTATTAAGCATTCGGAATGCAGATATAATTTTAAAAAATTGAAATTTGAATCAGTGTATAAAATATTAACAATGGAAAGATGAACATAACTAGTTTGAGTGGCCGTATAAACGGGTAAAATTATTAAGGATTACACGGGTTGAGATTTACTTAATGGGGTAGTCTTTGTTTTCTTGTAAGAAAATGTGTGGGCGTTTCGCCGGAACAAAATAAAGTGGCTGCAATAACGAGGTGACCTTATTAACAAGGTGATCGTAAGGCGGGATTTCACTGTAATCCACAATTTCACTGTCGATGTTGCACAGTGTTTATCCTGCGTGTTTCTTATTTTAGACAGCTAGGGTTCTGAGTATCCAAAGAAGAGGTTCAGAATTTGCTCTTGTCAAGTTAGCTCAACACTTTGGGAGGTCATTACCTTCTAAGTTACCTAAACTTTGGGAAGCAATTGTAGGACCACTACAGCAGATAAAGAATGGAAACTCATTTGGTAGGTCCTGAACCCTCAAAAGCAGTAATCAAGTGATTTTGGTGTCTTGTTCTCTGTATAATTCCTATAACGGGGTTTAGGAGCGAGGTTAATGCCGATGATTGGCCAAAGCGCCTAGAAAAAGGTTAATGAGACTTCTTATTGACTGAACTAAGGGAAAGCATCAGAGAACATGGTAGACCTTTCACCCAGTTAATATGTTTTACAAGAGTGATCTTTTGACATTACTGATTCTTGCAGTGTTCTGGACAAATGTTGTCTGAAGATTGTAAGCATTGTAGCTTATTACAAGTCTCCTTGTACTATCTCTGTCAGTATTTATGAGTATCTGTATTTTCTATTTATATTTTCTAGATGCAGACAAACTTGTTGACTTGGAGAGTGAAGCTCAAAATCTAGTAAATTGTTTACAAATACTTGAAGTTTTAACACCTGCTGTACATGTGGAACTGTTGTCAAAGGTAACTGTTTGTAATTCTGGAGAATTGATGCTTACCAAGGCAGGTAAACTAATGTTGACAACAGTCTGGGCTTGAAATTTTTGAGGAAGTAGTAATAACATTGGTGCAGGAGGAGAAAAAAATTGAAAGTAGCTGTAATTCAAAGCAGTCTACTTATGCTCAGATAAATAATACCTCGGTAAAGCTTTTTTTCTTCTTTTTTCTTGTAGGTTTTAGATCTCCTTCCCAATCTGGTGTTGTGCCTACAGCACCCTTACTGTGCAGTGAGACACTTGGCGGCAAGGTGCCTGGGAGTTCTTAGCAACGTATCCATTCTAGAGACCATGAGGGTTGTTGTCGAGGATGTACTCCCTTTAATGGGTACAGCTGATGTGGTCAGGAACCGTCAAGGAGCTATAGAAGCTATCTCTTGTATCTTTTTTTTAATGTTCCTCCAGGGCAGTCTTGAAAAAAGAAGATAAGGAAAAAGAATATTTTAAATGTTAGTGGTTTCAGCACGGCTATTTTGGGTTTTGAAATGGGCAGTGAAACCTAATCATGGCTTTCCACGAAATCATGGCTTCTTTATTTGCCCCTTCTATCTCTTGTTTTCATCAGGTAACCCTGTTGTTCAGTATTTATCTTCACCACTTTAGTCATGCAATTTGTTTGCATTAGCTGTTATTGTCCTTGACTTGCTGCTGTGTATCAGGTGTTATTGAACGACTCGGCATGGGTGTGGTCCCGTACGTGGTACTCCTGGTTGTACCAGTGCTGGGACGAATGAGTGATCAATGTGAAGATGTTCGGCTCATGGCCACCTACTGTTTTGCTACACTGATTAGGCTTATGCCTCTTGAGGTATCAACCTTTCCTTTTGTATAGCGCTTGCACTTGGAAAGTCCTTGCAAACACTTTACATACATTGTATATTGTAGGTCAATTTGGTTTTTAAGTCAGAATGATTTCAACCTACTGTCAGTGTCAATTTTTATGAAAGTGTCATTAATGTTATAATCCTCCCAGATCATTGTTGTTTGTTATGTGGCCATAATTTTGTCTGTCAACGACTGACATTTTAAAGTCTAGACAGGGG